GAAAAAAAAAATGAGGGGAAAAATAACAAAAATTGAAAATAATGTGGAAAAAAATAGAAAAAAAAAAAGAAAAAAGGAGAAGAAATGAAGGAAAAATGGAAGAAAAAAAAAGGGAAAAAAAAGAAAAAATAGAAAAAAAATGAGAGAAATACAGAAAAAATGATGAGAAAAATACAGAAAAATAGGAAAAAAGGGAAAAATATATCGAAAAATGAGAAAATAATTTGGAAAATTGAGTTGGAAATGAGGTGGAAAATACGGAAAAAATCAGGGGAAAATGGAAAAAAAATTGAAACAGTGAAAAGTGAGAAAAAAATTAAGGGAAAATATGAAAAAATTGAATAAAAATAGGGGAAAATGAAGAAAAAAGGAAAAATATTACAGATAAATACAGAAAAATTAGGGGGAAAAAAAGGGAAAATTGAGTGAAAAATAAGGGGAAAATGAATTAAAGAGGAGGAAAAAAATGTAGAAAATGAGTGAAAAAATATGGAAAATGGTGCGAAAAATTTGGAGAAAAATGAGGTAAAATTGGGGGGGAAATGGTAAAAAATGGAGTGGAAAATACGGAAAAAAATGAGGGATAATAAGGAAAAATGGAGAAAAAAATGAGGGAAAAAATAAAGGGAAAATGGAGAAAAATAAAAGAGAAAAATGAGGAAAAATCCAGTGGAAATCGGAGCAAAAAATAAAGAAAAAAAAGGGAAAAGGTTGAAAAAATGGAGGAAAAAATCAGCAAAAATTAAGGAAAAATGAGGTAAAAATGGAGAAAAACGGGAAAAAAATCAGGGGGAAAAGAGGAAAAAAGTGGAAAAATGGAGAAAAATGAAGAAAAAGAGGAAAAAAGGAAAAAAAACCTGAAAAAACGGGAAAAAAAAAGAGAATTTTGGTGCCAAAATTGGGATTTTTGCCCCTAAAATGGCGGCTGGGATGGGAAAGGGGGCGGAGCCAATGAGGGAGGGGGCGGGGCTTGGAATGGCCAATCACTGCTCTCCTGATTTGCATATTCAAATTTTTTCCTTCCATGTGTGGCCCCAAAAGGACCCCGGGACCAGGGGCCGAGGCATGACCCAGGTAATTAATGGGTTTGTTAATTAGGTGATTAATTAATGGGTGATTGGGGTGGGGCTAATTAGCAGGGCAATTGATTGGTTAATTAGGGGGTAATTAATGGGTTAATTGGGGGTTAATGATTGGGTTAATGGGTAATTAATAATTATCCGGGATAAAGCAATAATGAGGTTAATTATCATTAATTAGTGTTAATTAGTAGTTATCAGGAATAAAGTGATAGAGCATAATGAGTTTGATTAGCCTTAATTAGTATGAATTGGTAATTACTAGGAATCAAGTGATAAAACATGATGAGGTTAATTAATCAATATTTATCAGGAGTGAAGTGATGTTAATTAGCTTTAATTAGCAATTATCAGCAATAAACTACTAAGAGGATAGTGATGTTCATTACCATAAATTAACACTGATCAATTAATTAATTCCAGGTGAGCAGATCCTAGCTTGAGCCAGGGGTTTTGGGGCCAGATTTTAATTAGCGTTCATTAGTAATTACCATGAAATTGTGCTAATTAACACTGATTAATTAGCTCAAAGCACGAACAACGCGGCCTTGGTGTGGGGGAGGGGATTTGGGGGCATTTGCATGTGCTGGGGTGTGGTTAATTAGCAATAATTATCGGTAATTAATGGTGTTTGCCATTAATTAGTGCTAATTAGTTAATTATCTGTCAGTGAACATGACAACTAATGACCCTAGTGAGGGGGAGGGGGCATTTCTGATTGCTGGGGTGAGGCTAATGAGGTTTAATTAGCATTTAGTGTGAGTTATGAATACTTAATGACAATAATTAGTGTTAATTAGCGTTAATTACCCCCAGGGGAGGGGGACAACAACACGGTGTAAATGAGGGGGAGGGACCATTTGTGAGGCTTGGGGTGGGGTTAATGAGGGTTAATTAGCATGTTTAGTGTCAGTAATGAATACTAACTGTTGTTAATTAATATTAATTAGTGTTAATTAGCGTTAATTGCCCCCAGGCGAGCAGGACAACTCGGACAACAACATCTCAGTGAGGGGGAGGGGTAATTTGTGAGGTTTGGGGTGGGGTTAATGAGGGTTAATTAGCATTTAGTGTCACTTATGAATGCTAATTCACATTAATTAG